ATCACTAAATGAGAGATTTATTCTGCTTTTATGATACACTCAAAATATTCCACAAGCAATAATTTAAATTGAATGATATTCAGAACAGAACAAGAATAAAAAAAAACATAAATAATAAATAACCGAAATAATTTAAAGCGAAAGTGAAAGTAAGCTGTGTTGGGCTCACATTACTCTCTCATTCGAATCAAACTGTTTTAACATTTGCGATGTATTTGGATGCTAAACTATTCTTTATTATAGGCTTTGTACTTCACTCACGTTCCAATATCGACAGAAAAAACATTAACATTCAGACCAAAATAGACGACTTCCTGTTGGGCTGGCTTAAAACTTAGAGCACGAAAGTTGTTTGGCCCGATGAGGTGTATATGTGTACCGAGTTTCATATTATTATATGCAAGTGTGTTTGATTTATGGACCAAATATTCAGACCAAGTTTATGGACCAAGTTAATTTAATTAATAAACTAATTATATAAAACTATTGTCTATGCACTACAATTAAACTGGTTAAATGCCTTTATTAATAAAACTTATTTAAAAAATACAAGGCTTAAGACATTTATTTTCTTTTTTAATGCAGGCCAAACCACACAGCAGTGAAATGGTTAATCTAGCCCCCCTCCCCCTTCCCCTACACACACACACACACAAGCACACACACGCAGACAGGCACAGACACAGAGATATGGCAATCCATTTTAACATTTAACAGCTAGACTGGATATGTGTTGCAGATATCTGTAATTCAGTATTGCCTAGTCAAAAAGAACATTTCAGATATCCGCAACTACATTCTTCCTATCCATAATTGTCATTTCAGATATCCACAAAGACACTCTTCCTAGGACAAATGACATCACTTTTGACATTCATTTGAATGGGGTTTATCAATACAGATATCTACTATTCAGTTGGAGATATCCACTATGTGAATTACGGATATCTGCAACTGAATTGTAGATATCTATAATTCCAGTTTGAGATATCTACAATTTGATTCTGACTAGTCATAACTCCAGTTCAAGATATCTTTAATTAACCTCAATTCAAGATATCTACATGTTCCTTTGCAGATATCTTAAATTAAGTTTTGACTAGTCAAAATGGCGTTGTAGATATCTCAAACTGGAGTTAGGGATAGTCATAATTTAATTGTAGATATTTATTATCAAGTTATAGATATCTTGAAATTAATTTGGATTGTCATTTAAGATGTGTGACGAGTTGAATGTCGTTTTCAATGACGTCATTGCAGATATCTTTGCCTAGTCAAAACTGAATTACAGATATCTCTATCTGTCGTTTCGACTAGTCACAATTACGTTACAGATATCTTAAATGATAATACAAACTATCCAAAATGTAATTACGACTAGTCAGAAAGACGTTGTTGATATCTACAATGTTAATTCCGGATAGTCAAACTTAGCTTTTAAATGTTAAAAGGGCTTGCCATACAGAGACGTAGGCTCAGAGAGAGGCTCACCATATTCAAACCAAAATATCTGACTTCGTGTTGTTCGGAGCTAATGACTGTCAATTAGAAAGTTGTCCGGCTCGAGGAGAACAATATACATACCGATTTTTGTAACTGTAGATAAAACTAATCCCCCCACTTTTGACAAAAGGTGACGCTACTGAGCCCTCACCACGCCCGTTTCTGAAACTTTGCACATGTCTACTGGCTAATAAATGTAATGTGTCTGTCGAGTTTTATGCAATTTCAAGCATACTAAGAGTCTCAAAAGCATCAAACAAGAATATTAAAGTTTGATGCGTTGCCATGGCAACAGTATCTAAGATATCAATAATCTTTTCACAGGTCTACATCTGCCGTGTGTTTACATTATACACATAAAGTTTGAAGCAAATCGGGTAAAAATAAGAGGGTGATTTCAAAGCATTTTGAAAGTGACACACTTCCTGCTGCCAGTTGGTGGCGCTATAACTTTGACTCACAATAGTCACATCCATGTGATCGGTCTCTTACAGCGAACACACTGCTGAAGTTTCATCAAGATCAGTTAATGTATGCAGAAGTTATAACACACTTCCTGTTTCTTGTTTCTCGCCATAAATTAGTTTCCTCGCCACGGCCAAACCGTTCGAGATATCAAAAATCCCCTGGCAATTTTTCCTCCTCAGTGTCTTGACTTCATGCTGACCGAGTTTCGTGCCGTGGGTTTTCCAAACAACCCTAAATAGCCGACATCCTGTTGGGCTGGGGTAAAAAATCAGAGCATGAAGTATATATGAACCGATGAGATCTATAAGTGTACCGAGTTTCATATTATTCCATGCAAGCGTGTTTGATTTATGGACCAAGTTTTCGGACCGCGTTCCAGGGGGCGCTGTCGAGCCCCCCTGCCACGCCCGGGTACCATCTTCAGCCCGGCCCTGATGGCCGCGGGTTCTGACCCGTGTGCAAAGTTTCAAGAGTTTTTGAGCACGTTAAGGCCCCCAAGAGTGCCCGAATAGTCGATAGAACATTTTAAAAAAATGTATCCTAAGGAAAACAACAGGGCCTTCGCCCTTTCAGGGCTTGGGCCCTAATTAAAGCTGAGCTGTGTAATTTCTGTGCTAGTTGTCACAACCACGCCAGGCTCCACCCTCACACAATCACAGCGCACTCCCTCTCCTGAGTACTGATCACACACCTGCACATCATCAGTACGACAATCACCTCCTGCTTATAAACCTCTCTCTCATTCTTTGTCCAGTATCGTTCGCATCAAGACGCTAACGCTGTGCTTACCTCCTGGACTCCAATATCTACTATCCAGTCTCCGTGTGATTTCTCTGAGTCAACAACATTGATCCTAATCACCAGTTCATTCTCCTGAGTCTTCGCAAATTCCAGTTTGTCTTCATCATCACCAACTGCAAGTATTCGAACTATGTTATCCGAGGTTGATCGTCTGGATCTCTTCTCACCCACATTCCTTCACCTGCACTGCTGAACTTTCACCTGGTTGTTCAATAAACATTATATTACTTGCATCCTTGTGTCAGTCCCTTCTGTCTTGTAACAGAATACCAGACCAACAAAGGGAAGACCGACGAACCCCAGCATGAGCACCGCGGATCCCTTCCAGGAACTCGTTGACGATGTCCGTCAGTCTCTACCGTCCGCTCCACAAGCGCCGCCCACAGCGTCCACTTCCACCGACACTGTCGTCACTACTTCTCCACCGGTGCTAGTCAGTCCCATGGCCCGACCGACGCCCTTCTCAGGATCGGCGGAGGATTGCAATGGGTTCATCTTACAATGCTCACTGGTCTTGGAAATGCAACCACACCTGTATCCAAATGACCTTGCTAAAGTTGCGTTTGTAATTTCACAGTTGAATGGCAAAGCACTACGCTGAGCCGAATCACTCTGGTCCCAGAAGAGTTCTATAATCCAATCTCTCTCCAGTTTTTTCCCTCATCTCAGAGAAGTTTTCGGGAAGCCCACCTGGCTTTGATTGGAGAGCAACTGTACCAGTTAAAACAAGGTTCAATGTCTGTGAGTGAATATGACCTGCAATTTCATACACTAGCTGCCGCTAGCGGATGGAATGAACAAGCCTTGCTCACCACGTATCGTCAAGGTCTGAATCCTCGCGTACGATTGCATCTTGCTGCCTACGAGGATTCCATCGGACTAGAACGCTTTATTCAACTTTCCACCCGCTTCGCAACTCATATGCAGTCATGTCTCGAGGAGCATCAGGACCTGCCACTCACTCTTCCATCTCTTCGTCGACCTGAGTCCATCAGCCCTCCAGAACCTGCCGACGAACCCATGCAGATAGATGGCGCACGGTTGACTCGCACTGAACGAAATAGACGGCTGACCCAGAGTCTGTGTTTATATTGTGGTTCCTCTAAGCACTTCATCTCTAAATGTCCCATTCGCCCTCCTCGTCCCATGGTGAGTGCTATAATTCCTACGTTTGATAACTTGAAACCACTCTCTACTTTTGTGAATTTAACTCCTGCCGATGTTACTATTCCACTCATCGCCCTTCTTGACTCAGGGTCAGCAGGCAACTTCATCTCTGAAGCCCTCTGCCGTCAGCTCAAGCTCAAGTCTACCGCCACGCAGTCCATCTACCAAATTCACTCGATAACTGGCAGACCCCTCAGCCGTAAACAGGTACGTCTCTGTGCTGGTCCCATACAGCTTCAAATAGGAGCCCTACACGTAGAACAACAACATTTGCTGGTTTTGGAGGAATCCCCCGCTGATGTGATTTTAGGGCGCCCATGGTTGGAGCAGCACAATCCTGGAGGACTGGCGAAATACTGAAGTGGGGGGACTGCTGCTTCCCAAACTGTTTTTCTGCACTGCCAGTGCCGGCTGCTCCTCGGGCCAGACAGCTGCCTCTTTGCTCTACATCCATTGAAAGTCCAGTGGAGAAACTTTCGGTGGACGTTCCGCCTTGTTATGCCCATTTCAGTGATGTTTTCTGTCCCCAGCGGGCCTCCATTGTGCCATCGATCTGCTTCAGGTTGAGTCAGTGCCCCGTGGGAAGATTTATCCCGTCACTCCCGGAGGAGAAGGCCATGGTGGAATACATCAAAGAGGCTCTGGATCAAGGTTACATTCGCCCTTCTATATCCCCTGCTGCTTCCAGCTTCTTTTTTTTTGGCGAAGAAGGACGGAGGCTTGCGGCCCTGTCTAGATTACTGCGTACTCAACTGGATCACTGTCTCAAGTTTCGCTACCCCCTTCCTCTCGTCCCCGCTGCACTGGAACATCTCCGAGGTGCCACTGTTTTTTCCAAGTTGGACCTCCGCAGCGCCTACAACCTCATCCGGATACGTGAGGGGGACGAATGGAAGATGGCCTTCGTGACCCCTACAGGCCACTACGAGTACCTCGTTATGCCATATGGATTGGCCAACGCCCCCTCCGTATTCCAGGATTTCATACATGAGGTACTCCGGGAGTTCCTCCACAAGTTTGTCTTGGTCTACATAGATGATATCCTGATTTACTCCTGGAGTATGACTGAACATCGCCACCACGTTGCGGAGGTCCTGAAACGCCTGAGGGATTTCCAGTTGTTCCTGAAAGCAGAAAAGTGCTCTTTTCACCAACCCTCAGTGCAGTTCCTTGGCTATCACATCGATAGCAGTGGCATCCGGATGGGAGAGGGGAAGGTGGATGCCATCCGCAACTGGCCCATACCCACAACTATTAAGGAACTCCAACGTTTCCTTGGATTCTCCAATTTCTACCGTCGCTTAATCCTGAACTACAGTATCATTGCCAGTCCACTTACTCACCTCCTTCGACACAAGCCCAAGTCTCTGTCCTGGACACCTGCTGCCACCCAAGCCTTCGAGTCCCTCAAGAAGTCTTTCACCACCTCTCCTCTCCTGGTTCATCCCGATCCAGAGAAACCTCTGGATCTCTTCTCACCCACATTCCTTCACCTGCACTGCCGAACTTTCACCTGGTTGTTCAATAAACATTATATTACTTGTATCCTTGTGTCAGTCCCTTCTGACTTGTAACACTAGTACCACCAAACAGAAATTCATATATAATGATTTGTAAAACCTTTTGTTTTCAAACACGTTTTCCAAACACTTCTCCTGTCTTCCATTGGTTGTTATAAGCAGATATTCCTCCCCCAAACTTTTTGCTCTGTAGAGCCACATTTGGGAGGAAAAATCAGCTTTTCTTATAGCGGTCTCTACATATTAAAATGGGATAGGATAGGAGAAAATATTTAAACATCAAAAAATTACACAGGACCTTCTCCTCTCGCCATTCTGGGTATAAAGAAACAATGCTTCTAATTCTGTGCTGTCAACAGTATGTCCACTTTATTAAAGGAGTCATAACCTGTCATTTTCACTTTTCCACGAGAATCAATGTATGTTATGATTGCCTAACGATTAAACATTGGCCGGGAAGCCGATATTCAAAAGTGAAGCGTTTGTTTACCCCAGGGTTCGTAAACCAGCCCACGTGCACGCGCACTCAAATACGAGATTTTAATTTCTCCCCCGACTTGACGTCAAGACGGGGCAGGATATACCATATATGGACACCGCAGACATATGCTGCAGGAAGCCCGCCCTGCCCCTCTACCCCTCATATTCAGTCAAGAAAGATGCAGAAATGTAGTGCACACGTGAGTTGCTCTGTGGTTGACTGCCAGAATCAACATTCAAATGTGTTTTCTCTACCAAAAACGGACCAAACTACCAGGGACCAGTGGATGAAATTCATTTTTAATGACGCTGTTCCAACAACCCTATCAACTGGCTCAACGTTAGGTGTCTGCGCTAAACATTTTACACAGGAATCATCACGTTACATGTCTGTAGATGAAAAATATTGAATGTCTAAAAAACCACAACGTGAAACAAGGCAAAAACAACACATGATAGCAAACATTGATCTCTATAACCACTGTAAGCTGATAAAAAAAAGTAGACTACATCTCCGTTAATGTAATCGACATTAAATAAAAGGTAAACTTATGTGGGAGAAAATAGCAACAAACGTTTTAGCTCGTTACTGATGTTAATGTATGTCTCAGTCAAAATGATTGTCTTTACCATTCAGAGACATGTTGATGTAGACGTCCTTCCATTGACAATATATCTTCCGTTTCCAGCTCTGGTTCAGAGTCTGGCTCAAACATATATGGTTGAATTCCGTAGGTCGCGGCCAAGTCGGGTTCATTCACAACTTGCGCCATGATGTCATTTTGGAATGATATGCTGAAGTTACCTGCGGTGTCAAGCCCCCTCCTTCCTGCCACCAATCAACACGCCCCTCACTTGCATTATTAAAATGACCATCCACGACAGCCAAAATATCGCATCAGATCTCGCGAGACAATAATGCATTCAGAAATAAGGGTCAGAGGAGCTCTGTGTTTACTTTTTTTCCACTTTTCTTTTTTAGAAGGGCCTGAAAGACTATAATAGAGCGTGGGTATCCAAGGTAATACTAGGTTATGACTCCTTAAACTTCCTCTTTCTGAATACTTGGAATAGACACCAGTTTGGTTGCCCTGGCTTTTCTTTTTGACAATTTTGATAATTTGGATTTTCCAGTATTTAACTTAAGAACTCTTTCAAAAAAATAAAAACACAAAAATTCTATTCACTTGTAGTTCACTTTATTTATAGTTTCTGCCTTGCATTCTTTACTCAAGAGTACACGTTGACAGGGTCAAAGGTAACGCCAAGGGTTTGAGCTGTTGTTTGAGTAGCAAATAATCTTACATTTTGTCCGGCATGTTGTCCATCCTGCCACACTTTTTATTTTTTTATCTCACTGACAAACTGCTAGGTTAACATGGAGTTGTTTCCCAGAACCTATTCAAGCATGTAAAGGCTTAATACTGTAATACTGAACTTTCCACTTTGGCTGAATGAGACATCTTAGATCAGAGATTATAATTTGGCTGGTCATGGCTAATTTCTCAACATAAAGAATAGTGCTCATTGTCTTTTCAGTGCCATCTTATTGACAGCAGAAAGACTGCGCAATGAAAAAGAACTGCAATGCTTGAACAATGAAGAGACCAATTTAGGGAACTTTCAAATCCCCTTGGGAATTAGGGAGAACAACAAGAAATAGATAACATTGCAGTTAAATGCTTAAATAACCTCAAGGCGCGTTCATTATTTCTGTATATTTCTTTCTCTTTATAAGTGGGATAAAATGTATTATTGTTAAAAACATGATGTTTTCCCCCCCTGGACTATACTAACAAGCTCTGGAGTGAAGACATGAGCTGTTCCCAAATCTAGTGACCGGAGTCTACGGCCGTTTCTCAATACCAAGTACGCAAACTTCGGACTTGCGTCCTTGGCAGTTCGGACTTGCCAAGTTCGACTCAGGAGAACGAACTCCCGAGGACGAGAGGACGCAAGTCCAGTTATTCTGCAAATGGAACAGTGCGTTCTTGATCGCGTCACTCAGCACGCTCTGGCTACTCTGGTTATCTCTTTATGTATATTTTAGGCAAGAATAAAACGAAATGCTACAACTCTGCCTCTTTTCGTCAACAATAAAACGAAATATGTTATAAAACACCACCCTGCCTCTTTTCATTTAAAAATCTTAAACATAGTAGCCTAATGGCCATGTGGTTCAGGCAACGCGTAGCCTATTATCTTCACTGCATATATTTATAACAACATGAACATGATCTTTTTGTTTTCATTTTAAAAATATGAAACATTATTTATTTTTATTGACATTTAACAAACAGAGACAAGGTTGTGTCATTTTATTTTATTGTACATAGTGAAGAGAATGTTAAAATAAATATAAAAATATATATATTTTAAAGTATATAAAATAAAATTACACAACCCTGTCTCTTTTTGTTAAATGTCAGTTTTAATGATCAATAATATCTACAATGATAAATAAGGCAAACAATTCAAACATAAGTAAGCTCTCTAATAGGCTACAAAGTTAAAGTTAAATAGCCTAAATATATAAAGTTATGAAACTTCACTTTGCCCTCAGCTAAAACGATTTTTTGCCAAGGAACAAACAATAGTTTAACGAGACCAAAGATCGACTTATACACAAGACGAATTATACGTCAACTTTATCCAGACATCAGAGCCAGCGGCAAATGTCAGACGCACTAGCCGAGGAGGAAAAGCTGTTCCAGTCGGGGTTGATGAGCGTTGAACACCCGCGGTGAACGCCTGGATGTCACAACTCCGAAAACGTCAGAGACATTTTTCAAATAGGCGCTATCTTTATAAATAAACCACAGATTTGAGTTTTAAACAACCACATTCTCGCCTGAAACACTGTTAAAATTACATTTCATGACACATTAACAGTAGTATTTTGATATTACGCGGGTTTTCTCCTCTGCTATTGGCGCTTGCTGGTTGGTGCGAGATGCATTCTGGGATACCTGGCTGTCTCAAGTCCGCACAAGTCACCTCTCGGTGCATCCTCGGTAAACGGGGCGGATCAAGAACACATCCGGGGATTTGAACTGGACTTGGCTAGATGTGAACTTTGAATTGGAACAGTACTTGGGCAGTGACTGATGACGTTTCACAAGTCCACAAGAACACAAGTACAGACAAGAACGCATATTGAGAAACGGCCTACGTGTCACAGTTGTCTGCTGTCTTCATGTCACGTGTCTTTATTAGTTCATCTGTTTCACCTGTCTTGTTAATCATCATCTGTTTCACCTGTCTTCACTAATCAATGTTCATCAGTCTCTGTATTTAGTTCCCTTCAGTTCAGTCAGTCCTTGTCGGTTGTTATTTGTGTTTAGAGTGTGTTTGCCTGTCATCCTGCCTGTGAGTAAACTTTAAGTAAAGCGTTTGTATTGGAGCCTTTGAACTTTGAGTCTTCTTCAACCCACACCACACCGTGACAGAACAACCGACCGCCCTAAAATGGACGATGGGGTAAGGATTATCGTCCTGGCCCAGGAGAGCCAAAATCTTTTATCCTTCACCCTAGGCTTTTGCCGGATTGTTGCCAACAGCGATCTCAACGACGAGAGCCTGTGCACAGGCCCGCATTAACCTGCCGTTAGGCCCTGGGGCTGAGAGGTTTTGTAGGCCCACAATAAAAAAAAAAGTCTAATGATCACGTTTGTCTATACAACAAAAGCAGAAATAAGTTTCTCTCCCCGAGAGAAACTTATTTCCTAACGAAAACAGTATTCCATAAAAAAATCCACAACAACAGCAATGTAAAACCTCCACAGCACAGGCTACTGGAAAGCAGTAAATAGTCTAGTTTTAGTCGACGAAATACAATAAGATTTTAGTCGACTAAATTTAAAGTAGATTTAGTCGACTAAAATCGAATGGGTTTAGTGAAATTCTAATGCATTAATTTAGAATTTCTCAAAAATTTCCAAACCCATTATATATTCCCGTAGAAAACATCTATTAACCTGTTAATATGAATAATTTTTAAAGTTTGAACATGCAATACTGTACAGACGCAGATTTAGCACGGTGACATAACATAATATCTTAAAATTAAATAAAAACACTTCTTCTCCAAAAGTAGAACAGTCTTTTTTTTCTTCAACTAATGATTATGCAGTCTTTAACTTACATAGGCCTACATCATTCTTTATTCTTTCAAGCAGACATATTTATTTGTATAATTTAAGTATAATTAATCCATATTAAAGCTATTAAAGAGCAGTGAATGCTTTTCTCTTTTTATTTTGTTGTTTGATTAATATTAAGTGTACAGACGGCATTAGGTTTATTCTGTCACTGTCACTTTAAGACCGAGTGCGCAGATCCAATTACACTGATGCACATCCAATATTATCACAACTGTACATTCTGTAAAACATAACCGACTGTGTTTACGTGAATACTCTCTAAAACGGACATTTAGACATAATGTTGTGTGTATTTGTCCATTCAGACACGAAAGAGAGCTCAATTCAGTCCTCGCGCGCTGTCTGTATATGTGTAGGCCATATGTTCGGGTCGGGACCGTATCGTCTCGTTTTCGTCTGTGAAAAAATTGT